AATTTATATATCAAAATAGTTATATTATATCTTTAGAAATCGACAATAGCTCATAACATATCATATCATATATTTGGTATCGGATGACCATTATCATATTATATATTTCGTTAGCATAGCATTTAACAACCTGAAATAATAAAATTAATGAACTCGTGCTGTTCATTTGTCACTCAAACATGTTAACTTGGCGACATTGATATGTCAAGGATTAGCATACCAATGTTTTTGAAAGCATGAAAGCTTATTTGAAGTGCAAGTACCAATGTTTCCCACTCAATGAAATATATAATCCTTAAAACTCATAAAAAAGTCACACAGTACTTATTTTTGAGTTTGTATAAGTAGGCATAGATAAAAAAAATCGAAAATCCGACCAAACCAATCAAATTGAACCGGCTCGGATCAGTTTGACACAGGTAATTGGTTTGGTTTAGGTTTCTTTTTACAAAATCATGGTGGATCGATTCGGCTATGGTTAGCCTCAAACTGCTGGTTAACTGAACAAACCCAACCCACTTACACGTTTACCTTTTTTATTATTTTTTTAAGAAAAAAATAAATCAAAAGATTAGCCATAATCTCATAAGTATATCTCGATTCCCTTCGTCTATGATGTTGCCAGTAAGTATTGGCATCGGAAATTTCCATTCACAAGCCCGTTATGTTATACTTAGCATTTTTTCCCTACTCAGGCAGGCTAAATAATGCATAAAAAAACAACAAAATTCTTATGTTTTCTGTAGATTTATCTCTATTAACCTAATTTTATTTGTTAGTCAATAGTTCCTGTAATATAAAGTTATTTAGTTATTTTAGTTCTTGTAATTTAAGTGGGCTCAAAATTCAGACAATTTTTTTTAAAAAAAAATTCAAATTGGACAAAAGTCCAAACCGACTAACCGAACCAAACCAATGATTCGGTTAAAGAGCTAGAGGGAGTTGGTTTGGGTTGAAATTCATTCAAACCAACTAATTTGGGTTTGGTTTCGGATTGGAGTCGAAACCGACCCAAACCAAACAGCGCCCAAGCCTATGTTTAAGTACTTATTGGTGAAAATTAAGGGTAAAGTAATCTAATAGGAAGGGCAACTCTATTTTTGGACCCAAGCAAGCAAATAATAATGTCTTCCCTCCTAACCATTTGGGCAGGGATCAAGAAGAAAAATAAGGAACAAACACATGCATGATATTGCAAGAAAAGCTACTTATAAGTTGAATATCCAAAATAAGCTCATAATTTATGCTTAGAATGTGTGGAAATGATCCTTTCTTGTATACTTGAGGGTTCAACAAGGAAAAGGTGAGGGTTCAAACAGATCAAAATTCCAGCCATGTAACCTATTCACCCCCTTCCTTCCCCTTACTAAACAAATACATTCGTTTCAAGCAATCTTACAAGGTGTCTGAGAATTCAAATGTTGCAGAAAACAGTGCAAAGTTTGAGGACGAAATCTTATTTGTGATCATCCCAAAGAGAACAAGAGATCAAAAGGAATGCCATGAAATCACGCATTCATCCAGTGATTACGATAATGATAATCAAAGCTATGAGTCAAGTGGGGATGAAGATTTAGACAAAAATAACGATGAGGGCAATTGCTACAGCTGTGAGAATAAAGGAGTGCTCGAAGAAGAAGAATAAATTCATGACATGAACACGGAAAATAAGTCAAATGAAGGCAAATTGTTAGAAGTTAAAAAGAAGTTAAAAGAATAACAGAAGGACTATTATAACAGCTATTTTAGCATTTAGTCTGGGCGTCTTCGTCTTGCAGAAATTGCAGTCAAATAGACAGAGAGCTTCAAATAATTAGGGTGTGTTTGATTGGTAAGTTTTCCATGAAAAATGACATTTTTCTACCCAAATTCCAACTTTTGGAGTGTTTGATTGCCATTTTTTCCTATATAAAAAAAAAAATTCCAACCTTTGAAAATACAATCATGTTACATGTGCAATGACGGTTGACAAGGTTTGTTGACAATCATGATTTGACATCATCACATTCATCTCATTTCAAAAAATTTCAAACTGTTTTTTAAATCAAATGTCCAGATTTTACCACATCAAACATTGTCAACAAACATTGCCAACCATCATTATACAAATAGATTAATTCTTCAAAATATACATAATTTTCCTTATTTTTTTAGAAAAACACTTCATTTGGAATGAGGTAGGTTTTCATTTTTCCTCAAAACAAGGAAAACATTTTTTCTAGGAGACATTTTCCATGCTAATCAAACACAGCTTTAGCCCTTGTTTGATTCTCATTTTTATCAAAATACATTTTTCTCCCTCTTCTTTTCAACTACACAGTCTTCAATAAAATAATATTACAAGCAAACTCAAAATTTTTCCTTATTTTTTAACCACACATTCTCCGTCAATCTACTACTCTAAAATGCATTCTACACAAAAAAATGGGGCTCAAATAGGCCCTCAGTGTTTTCACTGTTTATCAATGCTGTTATTGCAAATTTGTACTTCACACAACCTATATTACATTCGGTCACATGGAAGGAATAAAAAATGTATATACACCATGGGACAAACATCTCATGAACAAAATATTGCATTTACAAGCATTTCCTACTATAGTTCTATCACCCCTTAGAGCCTCAGCCTATGTTTGGCTCATGTTTACATACATTAAAACCACTTTTTGTCCACATATTTCGTGAGATCCACAAGTATTACCCACCAATCCATCACTCATTTCTAGTTATTTATTAAAAAAAAAGCGCTTTAAACACTTCCCAAACCTGCTTTTAGATTATTTACTCGAGTGATAGCTTGCAATTGATGTGTCATATACTTCCTTTTTTTGGTTGTTGTGAGGTTTAATGCCAAAAGTTTCTTTCAGCCAATAAACAGGCCCAGAAAGCGGAAAATTTTGTCAATTCACAACACATCATACTTCAGGTCAAGTCTCTACAAAATGTGGATAGGGTCATGCCATGCGGTGCAAGGCAAGCTCGGTTTGCACTTCTAAATTCAAGTTAACTTTTGAACTTGATAAACGCCATGGTCTCAAAGTACAATGACCAAGTTGACTTGTACGCTGATTTAGATGAAACTAAGAAAGGAAACATAACAATCTCATTGTTCAAGACTTCAAAGTAGTAGCTCATGTATAATAGATCATACTCTGTGAAACAATAGTATGTATAATACATTAAGGATTGGAAAGTACAATATACAGCATCCACAAAATCAAACAGAAAATAGATTTAGCACATAGGAATTAAACGGCGGTACAAATAAAGCTTGCTTCAATTAGAATATCCAAAAAGAAACCTGGAATTTAAGACAAATGATCCTGAGTAGAAGCCTGAAGAAGTCCATCACGAATCTGGCTAGCCACATCACGGACTGCACCTGGTCCGTGTGGAATGAACACAGCAGAAGACTTGGAAGCAGCCCCAATTTCTTTCATTGTATCGAAATACTGAGTGACGAGTACCATGTCCATTACGTCCTTTGCAGTGGTTCCAGGCACATTAACTGAGAAACCAAGCACACTATCTCTTAAACCATCAACAATTGCCTGACGTTGGCGAGCAATACCCAATCCCGAGAGATATTTAGCCTCTGCTTCACCTTCGGCGCGCTTAATTTGCAAAATCTTTTCAGCCTCTGCCTTCTCGTTAGCAGCCAACCTCATCCTAGCAGCTGTGGAGTTCAAAATAGACAAAATAGTTGAGAATCAAAAGAAGGTGAAGTATATTTCCAGGGTTATATACTGATTGGGACTAACAAATTACAAATGGATTGAGAAAAACAATGAAAAAAATAGATTTATGAATATGGCAATAACATGAATTGTACTGAAAAGAAATCATTAGAAAAATGTATAGTTCCGACTTGAACAAACTAGATTTCCATCTCATGGAATTGCAACCAAGGCATTTCACCCTGAATTTTTGTCTAGAAAAAGTATATCCCTTTTCGTGTTTCTGCAGTTATTATAAGAATTTTGGATGTCCTCTTCAATATATCTACTCAGAATATTGTTCAGTATAGAGAAGCATTCTTCAGTACTTGGCAAATAACAGAAGATGTGCTGTGTACTTTACCGGCATTAATTTCATTCATTGCTCTCTTAACATGCTCATCTGGTTCTATGTCAACAATTAGAGTCTGGACAATTTCGTACCCATAAGCAGACATAGCCTGTAAGCAATGATGAAAAGCCACAAATTAAAAGAACGTCCAGTATTAAGTTCAACGGAATGAATTTAAATCATTTTGTAAGTGAAATTATTACCTTTTCAAGTTCATCTTCAACGGCCTTAGCAATTTCATTTTTCTGCTCGAAAGCATCATCAAGATTCATTTTTGGGACGCTTGCCCTTATCACTGATAAACAGAGAAATCAGAAGTCATTTTGGGTCCACAAATTATAATAGTTTGGTTGAACAATGAAGATAGAGACTATATAGATGTAAACCAATTCATAGAATTCAAGTTATCAAGAATAAGTTTATGTCCTTACCATCAAAGACATAGGCCTGAATTTGATTCCTGGTGTTGCTGAGTCTGTAAAAAGCATCACTTGCCTTGTCTGCCAGGGCACGGTACTGTATTGATGCCACTACATTGACAAATACATTGTCCTGAAGACCAATAATTATGAAAACCAATTATATTCTCTGAAGAATCACTTATTCACACTAACAATTGAAGGCTTCAAATGAACAGAAATAATCAAGATAACTACGAAACGATTTCCAACAAAAGCAAACAAGGAAGAAGTGGGTTAAGACGTCATAAGATTAGACAGTTTTATGCTACCACGACCCTCTTCCGATACTGGGCTTCGGCATCGCTATGAAAAAACATAGCCGGAGTAGGGTCAGGTCGAGATTTAAGTTCAGAAATCTTGAGATCAATTACCTTTCCCAACACCGATGCGCGTACAAATTGAAATTATACCGGAACATAACAATTTTCAACTCCCATAAAACTGAATGGTTCAAATTAATGCTGGAATTTTGGGTAAAAAATGGACCTTTGTCTTTGTCTCACAGCGCACGTCCAACTGCTGCAGCCGAAGGGAGAGATGGCCAGCCAACTGTTTTCCAAGGAACCAAGGGAGGCAATGACATCCAGGCTGAAGTACTTCGTCAAATTTGCCAAACTGCTCCTTAATAGCAACCGTGGATTGATCTACTTGTACACAACAACACAGATTTCCCATTTCTTAGATAGAATTTGGCCAAAAAAATTAAACCTAATTATACTTTACAGAAAACCTGAAGACATTTTTTTCTGCCCAACCCCTACATGGAAAAACTGTAGAAGAATAATCTAAGCAAGAAAAACAGGGTTTATATATGATATATAAGTCCTCAATTCATCTATATCTAT